CTTGGTTTATGAAGCTGCCCGGGCTTGGAGTACGCTCTGGGGAACGCCTTGTCCTGTCAATCTTACGAAGTGTGAGCCCATTCTCGCGTGAAGGACCGTCCGGCGGAGCATGGCAGATGGAGAGGAGTTGGGCTTCAGTAAGAGGGGATACTATAATGTTGGGGGTCACTATATGCGCGTCATAGGCTACATAAAGCAACTCACCTGGGGCACCGTCTTGCCCATTCAGGTAGACACCCAACCATCGACACTAAGACCGCCATCTTCCATCTCAACATGCTCTGCACCTTTTGAGTCGCCTCGTAACGCGAGTTTGTTGAACTTCTTCAATGCTCTCACTAACACTTCGACTCCACCATCACAATCAGTGACATTGATTGTGACCGACTTGCCTTCGCCTGGAAGCGTGAATTTGACCAGCTTCCGCTTAAGGTCATCGAGTGAGGGTGTATGTGACGAAGGTGTGGTAGGCCGGGTGTTTGAAGCGGGACTATTCCGAACTGAGGCACCTGCGGGTTGCAAAGACGGGGTCAGAGGCATCACATCGCGTTGGGACTTGGATGATTCCTCGATGGGTGAGAGAAGATTCTGCTGTGAACTCTGCGCATAGGGATTTTTACCAGTTGAAGGACGTGGTGGCAGTTTGATATGCGGATTTGGCTGCGCAGGATAGGATCCGCTTCTGTTGTGGGCAGGATTTGCATTTGGCGGTGTGCTTCGTCCTGACTGGATGGTAGGGAATGGCAGAGGAGAATGTGATCGATTCGGGCCACGCGTCTGGGACTGTGTGGTTGGGGTAAGAAAGTTGGACCCATGCGGAGGCTGGGGGTAGTAGGGTGATGCTTCGGCTTGCACAGGTGTACGCCTGCCAGAGAGCCCACTCGGCAGGAGCGTATGAGGTGTACGAGGGTTGGGTGGAAGTGGAGGTTGGCCACGGGGAGGGGGAGGGAGAGGCGGGAGGTTCGGCCGGACGCTATGTGCGGTCGTCGGCGTAGAATGCGAGGAAGAGCTTCCAGGCTGAGGCAGTAGCCGGACACCGTTTTGGTGCCGGGATGCGTCTTGTCCATCGCGAATGATGCGAGGCAGATCCGAAGAACCTCCTGCAGGCGCCAGATGCAGAGGTGCAGGGCGACCGCTCTCGAGACGACGCGAATGCGCACGGGCGCTATTGATGTCATCATTCATGCTCGACGTACGCGCATGGTCTGGGACCCTGGGGTAGTTCATGATTGACGTGAGGGCCACGTTGACGGATGAGCAGCGCTGTCGAAGGGTCTTGACTGCATTCAGGATGCGAAGTCTGTCCCCGACGCTCGCGATGCCCATCTCCTTCAGCGTGAGCTGG